CACCTGGCTAATTTTTGTATTTTTTAGTAGAGACGGGGTTTCACCATGTTGGCCAGGATGGTCTCAATCTCTTGACCTCGTGATCCACCCGCCTCAGCCTCCCAAAGTGCTGGGATTATAGGCGGGGGCCCTTGCGCCTGGCCTCAATTTTTAAATGAATTTGTAAGTTGTTTTATTTATCTCAGGAACAGAAATTAGAATTTTTAATATTTGCATTTTTAACCTTCCTCAGTAGCACATTAATCTTAGCTTTAACATTCCGCTTTCTGACTACCCTGGATCATTCTCGCATACTCCCCGTGGTGTCTTTGGAGAACCTACCTCTTGCAGAGAGGTGGTGGACCCTGAGGCCATTTGTAAGAATGTTATTAACGTGTCCTTTCCTCTTTGCATGCTGCTTATGTTACCTATTAAGTTTGTTTCTTTTCTAGAGAAAATTGAAAGAACTGTCCAAATTGAGGCTTCAACTGTTGAAATTGAAGAGCGAGGGGTCAAGCTACGCCTGACAGTGGTGGATACCCCTGGCTATGGTGACGCCATCAACTGCAGAGATTGGTATGCACCTCCCTGCTCAGGGATCTGCATTTGTTTAATGTACTTAAATTTATAGGTAGTGTTAATGAGTGATTATTAAGTTTGGGATAGCTGTATATAATAAAACAACTAGACAATTTAAAGCATGTTAAATATGGACTTTTAAAATAATTTAAGAATTTTATGGAGGGTAATTATTGCCTGGTACTGTAGTGATTTGAGATCACAAAGCCAACCGTCCGTAGATTGCTAGCACAAAACACCTGGATTTGAGCTGTGCCTGGTGAACAAGAGACTGTAGGACATTCTTTCTATGGAAGAAAATGAAGCCTGTTAGAGAGTGGGTTGAGTCATAGTGTCTATAAATGACTGCTCATTGGCATTGTTTTTATCCAAGAAGTAGAAGATAGAGCAGTCTATCACCTGTACTGTGCAAAGAATACCACTTTTATTGTGCAAACTCCCTCCTGGTTTTAATCCTGTCAGCATAAAGCATCAACTTTCCACCATTAGAGAAAGGGGGAAGGTTCTTTTGTCTCTCTCCTACATTGGGGATTTCCGCCTTCTTAGATGTGAAAGTGCTGTGCTGTTCCCATGTCAGGTAAACGTGTTCTTGACCCACATATTCTACCATCCAGTTCCTGGCCCCTCTTCACAATCACGTTCCTGAAAAGAATTGGCAACCCTGGTGGGGCGCGGTGGCTCACGCCTTTAATCCCGGCACTTTAGGAGGCCAAATCAGGCCGATCACAAGGTCAGGAGTTTGAGATCAGCCTGACCAACATGGTGAAACCCATCTCTACTAAAAATACAATTACGTTGGATTACATGGTGGCATGCACCTGTAATCCAAGCTACTCAGGAGGCTGAGGCAGGAGAATTGCTTGAACCCGGGAGGCAGAGGTTGCAGTGAGCAGAGATTGTGCCACTGTACTCCAGCCTGGGCAACAGAGTGAGACTCCGTCTC